TGTGTGTGTGTGTGTGTGTGTGTGTGTGTGTGTGTGTGTGTGCGTGTTCAGTCACTTGCAGCAGTGAAATACACACTCTGCAGTGAGAAGTTTGTTTGCAGGTGTGATGTCACATTGAGCCTTCAGGTTATCTGACTTCACATCACAGACAGATTTCACGTACACCCTCTCACACAGCACAGAGACGACACACTCATGTGCACACAGACACACCCTGGGAAGAAGCTGTCTTCAGAAACCAGACGTACAGTATCAAACCTTATTGGTTCAAAATTCGAAAAGATGTCAAACTAGTTATTTCATGCAGCATGACAATTAACTCTCTGTTGTAACATGTGACAGATCATCATCTACTTAGAGGAAGAGATAGTCCTGAGCAGAATTAGTAATAAACAACGATCAACCTGCAAGAAAATCAACATAGGCTTATTTCTGAAGCTACAGTTTATTAGGTACACATAGCCTCAACAATAAAATACATTGATTCAAATTTATGATCACTGTGGAAGATGCCGTTGTGGCACTGTTGCATTTTATTGCATTATACTGCGATATGTTTCTAATAATATTATAACCACCTCTCAATCACTTAATAAAGAGATGGTTTCTTGCAGGGCTGTAATGTTAAGCTGCTGCTGTTTTATTTAAGGGAACTTAATAAATCACACTCTGACAATAATAATGAAGTATCTAAAAATATATATATATATTATCTAAGGTTGCAATACATTTCCCACCTTTCAATTATTTATTGCAATCAAATGAATAAGCACTTGTGATTTCATTGCAGCGTTACAGAGTAAAGCTTAAAGCTGCATGGGTCTGAATTAGCTGCATGGTAATAAGACTGAACTTTTAACTTTTTAATTCAGTTTGAATCGCTGCATTAATCTGAGACGTGACAGCAAATTCGAGGTCTGGAACCAGTGTGGCGTAGACAGTGTGCCGGTGTCATGAATTCCAATGTCAAAGTGTCAGGAGGTATTTCAACATTTCACCTTTGGTGAAGGTCAAATATCTGTTGGTCTATTAAAGCTATGCTATTCAGCTCAGCACACTTGAGTGCAAACCCTGATTTAAAGCGCTTTCACTGTGAAAGGACACTTTCCGCTACATTCTGGAAGTGTAGAGAGGGTCTTTTGTGTCTGAAAGCCACATTGTGCTTTATTACAAGCAAAAACAATGGTGACCCTGTGTGTGTGAATGGAGGCAGAGTTGAGCATGTGCCTGTGTGTTATTGCACTCTCACCCCCTCTTCCTGGTGGGTTCACACCTCTTTCTCTGAGATATTTCTGTCCCTCTGCTGGGTCCCATTGAGCTACAGCCTCGATGCATCACTGGAAATTAAACTGTAAAAAAGGAAAGTAGCCATATGTTAGTGAGACAACACAACAGATATGTACGGAGAACCTGAAGTCCTAGATGATATGTTTTTGCACTATCTCTACAGAAAATAACTGTTTGCACATTTGTGTACGTTTTTTCTTATGTACAAATTTTTTTCTACTTCCTCGTGCAATCATCCTGTGCCACCGCAGTTTACTTTATAACATTTCATACAAACCACTCCAGTGAACTGTGAAATGCTCTTATTGTTTATTCTCTTGTCAAGATCATTCTGATGTGCTTATCGTTTTTTTCTGGGGAATCAGTTACTATCTTTTGCGCACAAAATAAACAAGTTGTGCATAAGTAATATTAGGTAAAGACATGACTGGCCAATGCTGTGACGACAACATTAAGTTGCGTTTATAGCTTTTAAGAGTTTGTTCCCACTAAGATAGTAACTCTTGGGACTTCAGTGGTTCCTTACACCTGGCTTCTTACTGTATCCCTCTCGATTTATCCATTATAAGTAGGAGATGGTAGAAGTTAACCATCAATTACATTTTGTGCTCTGAATAGATTTGTCTGCCTGATACCAGCAGCATCGACTGCAACCAAAGTTACCAGATATGTAAGAATGTGATACGGTTTCTGTCCTTTACACCCCAGAGGGAACAGTTTTTTTTTGTCCTTTCGGTTTCATTTGATATGATCTCTGATGAGTCTGCGGCTGCTTTAAAGGTCGAGGGCATCTGCTGCAAAATCTAACTCCAGAGGGAAGAAGCTTTTCTCTGAATTCACTTTAAAAAGCTTAAAATCCCCTTTTAATGGCAGCCAGCAAGTGCAACATAGTTAAGAAGTTAAAACTCACCCTCACACAAAATTATGGACAAAATAAGAATGTCATGATGACGTCATTCCTATCAGATCATAATACATTACTGTTCCATCTCTTTAAGCTTTTGGTCATGTCTACAATTCTGCAGACACATCAAAAGGGGAAACAAGCTCATCACATTAACATTTAGCATCGTCAGTCTGAATGCTGTCACAGCCTGTGACTCTACTCTTTCATGCTCTTTTTTATCTCTGTGCATTTCTGTGCCGCAGAGACCCAGAGGAACAACGCTGTCCTTATACATTCTCTGAAATATTTGATTGTCCGTGACAAGACTTGTTCTTAAATCGTCTTTACCCGCCCTCTCTGTCTGTCTCAGGTGTGACATACATGGAGGTGCGGCGGCCCTGCAGAGTCATGATCCTCGTGAACCCTCACTGCGGGCGTGGGCAGGCTCTGCAGCTCTTTACCGGCCACGTGGAGGGGATGCTCACAGAGGCCGCTGTGCCCTACACACTTATCATCACAGGTTGGTAACAGTTGTACACATGCACACCTTTGTTTGTCTTCTCAAGGTCACCCTGACGTGAAACAGCAATGAGCGGGATTACACTGAAAAACCCATCATGGAGCGATGATGGATGGATTGGACACTATGGGCCTCTGAGCTCGGACATGCAAAGGCCGCCCACTATCCTTAATAGGCGCAGCACCCTCATACTGAAAGAGATGCAAAATGTTTATAGTTTGCAGATGAACACACACAAAGGATTATAGTCATTCTGTATATCTGTGTGCAACAGGGAATATCACATTTCCATTCATACAGAGGGCCCAGCTCTTACACACACATATTTTGGTAATGATACAAGGTGTATTGGGTGTGAATTTTACATAAATTGATTATCTCTTTTTCGGATTTCTGGGATTTTTTGATAAGTGTGTCATTCAAACTATTCCGGCCTGACCTCAGCCTCTCAGCGACCCGTTTGTTTTCATGAGGTCGCTACACACACTGATTTAAATTGCCACTTCAGTCAGCCCAGCTGCTCCAGATTCTGTGCGAGTAGGCGATGGCTCGATGGTCTGTGACCTTAACCAATGTCATGTGTTGGTTACTAATGTCACTGAACTTCAAGTGATCTCTGAATACCAAGAAGCTGCTGGGGAACAGTGAGAGGAGTTAATGTCAACAGTTCGGTGCAAAGAGCATCTCTGACCCGTGGAGGTTTAACAGGCAGGAATAGTAACCTGTGTCCTCTGGCCACAGCTTGATAGTACGCCAGCTGAATCTTTGATATGCGGCTCAAAGTGAAATGGAGAATGACAGCAAAAGGCAAGGCAGGAAACAGAGGAAAACTGTTTGTTTATTGGGGAAAGAGTTCTGATGCTCATGCAGGCTCTTTCTGCGGACTCCTGAGACTTAAAAGAGAGGCAGCAGCTGGATGGTGATGCAAAAAGACAGAGTAATTACTGATGTTGACCCAGGCTGGAGAAGAATAGAGCAGAGGAGAAAAGAGGGAGGGAGGATACGGGTCGCTGAGGGCTTTCAGCGGTTGGACATGGCAGCCAGGCAGATGTGACTATGAGTGGATTAACTGGCACAAGCTTTGCCAGGGGCACCGCTCCTTGATGAATATATCACATGTAGCATTTGCCCAAGGAAGGACAAGTACCCATCGAAGCACCTCTTGTACGTCAGCATGTACCTTTTACATACTGTATGAAGCATCCAGTGTACCAAGCTTTATCTCTACCCTGGTTGACCTCAGGGAGCGGCAGCAGAGTGTAGCATGGGGGGGGGGGGGTCAAGTGTTCTCCTTTTCAAGTTTGTATTCACAGAGACAATATTTGAGCAGCTCAAGGATAAAGTCACCTCTGCCTTCAGGTCTAGGTTCAAGTTCCTGTTCCTGTATTTGGGCAGTGACCCCTTGGATAAGGAAGTGCCTGGGAAGTAAAGCATCAGCCAGAGCCCTTGGCTTGGCGGGCTCAAAGTGCTGAGTCAGCTGTGCCGTGCAGTTACTCCCTCTGCCACTGTCCGTCAACACAGCACCGCATCACCGCCTCCAGCCTGCCCGGTACACTGCAAACAAACAGCAGCATCATGGGGGAGCACGGCTGGGAGAGAGGGAAGGAAGAGGGGGAGGATACCTGTTTTTATTCCAGTTGATCAATACCTTGGCTGAAGTGGAAACATATTTCCTTCGTGATGGCAGTGCATCAATACTCAGTAACCTCCTCACTGTCTGCCTGCTCCTCTTCCCCTCTCCCTCTCTCGCTCTCGCTCTGAAGCTGTTTTATCGGCACACACCACCACACTGGGGAGTCTCAGCTGGCAGAGTTGTAGACTTTAATGCTGGTGGGATGAGTCCGCAGAGACCCCCTGCGGTGAGACCCTCTCAAAGACGACGCCAATAAAACTAGGCTGAACAAACAGCGCAGTCCTCCGCCTGCCAGCGCATTAACCAACACTTGCGCACACATGCTGACATTTGTCGGTCACAAATGTTGGCAGGCCAGCTAAGCTGCCTTGGAGCTGTTGAGTAGCCACTGGATGGGTTAATGTGATATGTCTGTCCCGATAAGGGGAAATTGAATCTCTTTTCTGCTTAATCTCTCTGATCCCACCCCAGAGGCTGGCGATGAAGGGAGTGTGTCTCTTTCCCTGTCCTTGCCCTTGTTTTTATTTCGCCATTTTTCTCCTAAACTTTGCCACATCTTCTGCTTCTGTCTTTGTTTTTTTTTGCTCGTGTCCTTCAGAGCACCAGAACCATGCACGGGAGCTGGTAAAGAAGGCGGACCTGTCGCAGTGGGATGCCCTGGTCATCATGTCTGGAGATGGACTGCTGTTTGAGGTGCTTTGACTTTACCTGACCTGTTTCTGTTTCTTATAGTGATACGATTGTAAATCAAGCACAGATGGAAATGATATAAGCCCTCACAACCCTGTTTCTATTGTTAGCGCTCTTCATAACAGGACTGTAAAAATTTAATTTGAATTTACACACGACAAACAGCTCTGTTGCTGTGATGCATCTAAAATCCAGCTCCTAAAAAGCCATTGTGTGGATTCTGCTCATTCATACATAAATCCTTAACCAGGGTGGATTCATGTTGCTTTGCATAGTTGACACAGAGCAGCTGCAATGCACATTTTATCACAACTTTTGTTTTCCGTTCTATTAAGGACCCTGCTCTGTTTCTCGTTTTCTCATTGCTCTTGTTCATTCAGGTGATAAATGGTCTGATGGACCGAGAGGACTGGCAAGAGGCCATCCAGACCCCTCTGGGTATTCTACCAGGTGGCTCAGGCAACGCCCTCGCCGCCTCCGTCCACCACTACTCACAGTAAGTCAGTCCATTAATGAGTCATTTAAATGCATGGACTAACAGTGCAAAAGAAGAGCAAAGAACAACCCTCCTCGTCCTGAAAAAGAAGAAGATTTATCTTCTTTCTGTGTAATTATGCCGAAGGCTGACTGGGCACATCATTCCTCAGGAGGGAAGAGAGACAGTGGAGTGAACTGGAACTGCTTGGCTGTGCAGCAGGAGGTCATTTTAGGTTGATAACTCTCAAAGGAATGATGTAATGGGTTTAGAAAATCACACATTAAGAGTGATTAAAGTGCAGCAGTGGAACCAGTCAACCCAACACATATCCAGTTTATTATCTCCATCTAGATTAAGATTCCTATTTTTGGTCCCACACACAGCATGCAACATGCAAACATGGGGAAATTTGACCTCTGTATTTAACCCATCCGTGTGAACGGAGCACACACGGAACACATGGAACACAATCCACACAGTGACCAGACACGGAAACGTGGCAAGCCATGAAGGCTCTGTGCCTTGCTCAAGGGCACCTCGGCAGTGCCCAGGAGGTGAACTAGCACCTCTCCAACTTCCGTCCATGCTGGACTTGAACCGGCCACCCTCCAAGCCAAGTCGCTATGGACTGCGCTACTGCCTCCCCATCTGCTGGGTGGTTGATGGCACAACAGCAAAGACACAAAACAGATGTAGTTGTCACCCGTGTCTGTGAACTGCCATAGTTTTATTGCTGTAATACCCTTGTAATGAGTCCGAGTGCCCTCTGCTAACTTAACAAAGTAAATTGGTGAAAATGTCATAAAAAGCTCTCTCACTTAAAAGTTGAACTGATAAAACAATCCTTGGATCCGCCCCTTCCTTCACCCAGTTTAGTCTAAATCTGTTCCTTAGTTTTTGCATAGTCTTGCTGAGAAACCAATAAAGGGACAGGGGTGAAAACATAACCTCCTGAAGGTCAAAATACTCTAAATAAATGTAGAGATTCCTGTTTTCAATACACAGCAATATTTATTCTGACTCTTGATTTGTACAAATATCCCTCAGGTCATCTCCAGCGTGGAACGAAGAACTACTATTGAGCTGTGGCTTCATGTTGTGCAAAGGTCTTGTCGGCTCCTTAGACCTGGTGTCGATCCACTTGGCCTCTCGGCAGCGCCTCTTCTCCTTCCTCTCCCTCGCCTGGGGCTTCGTGGCAGATGTTGACATCGAGAGCGAGAAGTACCGTCATGTTGGCGCCATCCGCTTCCTGATGGGCACCCTGGTGCGCCTGGCCTCCCTCAGAGTCTATCAGGGCAAGTTGGCGTATCTGCCTGTTAAGGAGGTGCCAGCACTTCCAAAAGGGAGCATAAAGGCTAACCACCCCCCTTCCACACCTCAGCACCCCTCACTCTGCTCCTCCCTACACTGTCGGCTCATCCCCAACCCCTCTCCAAATCAGAACGCTCGTCACCACCACAACACCACAAACTGCAACCACAACACCATCTCCAACTCCCCCAATAATGCTAACACCACCAAGAGAACTGAGATCCAGAGTGATGGCAAGACCATGGTACTGGTGGACTCTCTTCTTCCTGGTCTGGAGCAGCCGGTTCCAGAGAGCTGGACAGTGGTCAAGGAGGAGGACTTTGTCTTGGTACTGGCTATTTACCAGTCCCACCTTGCTGAGGACCTGTGGACAGCCCCTGGTGCGATGGCAGATGACGGGCTGATTCATCTGTTCTACGTGACAGCAGGAATCTCACGTCCCGCCCTGCTGCGCCTTTTCCTCGCGATGGAGAAGGGCGCCCACTTGGCGTGCGGCTGCCCCTACCTGGTGTATGAGAAGGTGAAGGCCCTGCGGCTGGAGCCCATCACTCCGCAGGGCGTGATCACTGTGGACGGAGAGATGGTGGAATACGGGCCTGTTCAGGCTCAAATCCACCCAGGACTGGCCAGACTCATATGTGGATGAACCTGGATTATCTTAATCTTTCTTCTGGTTGTAGAGCTTTTCTAGTTTGGCCTTTTTATATTCAGCGTTGATTCCTTTACGTATGCTGTGTTTTCAGAAGTGCCAAAGACATTTGATCAGCCTCTGGAAATTCCTCTATTTTTCTATTGAAGCAACTTATGCTCACAATGTTTGATTCAGGTTTAAAGCCATGGATGGTCGTTCTTGCTGCTGGCTGGTACCAGCTTGGAGAAAGAGAGAGGGATTGTGTGAGCGTGTGAGTGTGTGTGCGCACGAGAGAGATCTTTACGTTTCTGTGTGTACCCAAGTGTGTGTACGTTTGAGACTGTAGAGGAACCCATAGCTGAGGAGCTCATTGTTCATGCTGCTGTCGGACCACATAAGCATGACACACATGAAGAGAAGCACATTTTCCCGTCCTGGGATGCTCCTGGAGAAACCCCGCCCCTTGTCCCACTGTACTACACCAGGCCGCCAATCTCCCTCCTGGGCTCTAACAGCATCACCTCCCCCTAAGCTTGGTAAAGAGGAGCTTTCTTTCTGAGGAGATATAAATCCGCTGGGGATTTGATGTTGACATATCTTTAATCTTTGCATAGTATTTATGTAAAAAAAAAAAAAAAGCACACAAAAAATAACAATACCAGATCTTGTCAAAGTAACAATTAGCACCCCTTCCTCCTGTGTGTGCAAACTTCCTCCAGCTTCTAATGCATGAAGTGCTGTGGAGGCAGACAGAAACCCAGTCAGCCGAGCTTACACCTCCACCAATGCCCGATCCATTTCCTGCCGTGTCTGCTCTCTCACCCTGCTTGATTTGCAACCATCATCAAACTGTAGGAACTGCCTGCACTCGCACACAAACACACACTCACTTTCTTTTCCCCCATCCCCCCTCCTCCTATGCACACACACACGCACACACACACACACACAC